TGAATGATTACTATTTTGCTATAACTTCAGCTAAAGATTAGAATTTTAGCATAAGCAGTGTAAATTGTTGGGAAATTATAAAATCATTACTGTTTCGCTTTGTATCGCTGTTGTACCTATAGAAGCAATTTGAAATTTTGTTTAACTAAGCTGTTGAAAGCAGTTTTTTCATTTATTTCACTTGCTTTTTGACTTGCTTTTCCAAAAAGAGGAAAAGATGGGTTTTTTTTGAAAGTCGGATAATTAGAGCAGTGACTGTATGTGTATTCTGCAACTAAATAATGATTCTCTTTCATATTACTTGAGGGCAGTTGACGATTAATAAATAATAATGATTTGATTTGTGTTATTCATTATCGACAACAGTTCTTTTTTTTTTTTTTTTTTTTGAAGCGACATAACGCTTATCTAAAGCACCAAAAAAAATGTACAAAAACAAGCGAACTAAGCAGATCTATTAATAACCTGTTTTGTCGAATAGAACAAGGAGAAGAAGAAGAAGAGGAAGAAGATGAAGGTGAAGAAGAAAAAGAAAAAGTAGCAGAACAAAAAAGACTAGCAAGAAAGAAAACGAATAGTTAAGAAATTCAAAGTTTTTTTGTTGCTTGTGCTACTTTTTTTATTTCTTGCACTTTTCTGCTGTTTTTTATCCCCTAATTTTAACACTATTTTAGGAGACATGGGGAAGATCAAAACCGATAGCACAAGTGAATAGGTTTTCAAATAAAATGCTGCTTTTATTGCTATTAGTTTCTTTTTTGTTACCATAAACAGTTCTAGATAAATTCTAAATAGCTGTAACTCTACTTTCGTTGGAAAATTGTTTGTCCAAATAAAAAACAAACAAAATCAGCACAAGGTTGCCAACACGATATTGGCTTTGGCTTTACACTTTGAAATTCGTAAGAGAGGAAGGCCAAAATATTGCCAAAAGCAATTTTTACATGCTCTGACTCATGGAAATTCTTCCTATGAATGAATGATTCAGAATTTCTCAAAGGTGATAATTGGCATACGAATTTTTGGTGGGTAAAGTGAACACAGTCAATGCTCTATATTCGGAACTTGCCGTATGGTGATATTATGCAGCGGCAACATTTCCCTTGGACCTTAGGTGCAGTTCATCCATATTTTTTTCTAACATTCTTTGATTCCGAGTGGTATTTTTCTTCAGTAAAACTTTCACTAGCAGTCGGAAAATTTAAGCAATATTCTCACAAATGTCCCTCAAAGTTCAATATCTTAAGATAATAGAATTCTGACTCTGTCATTCAGTTAAGAGACGACTCAACACGCACTTCTGTTTCGTCCATTCTTGGTTACCACACAACAAGTAACTCATCACGTCTAACTGTTCAACAGTCCACCCCAAAAAATCACTTTTAAATGGTTAAGGAAGAGTCGTACACGGTTAAAAGTACGTCTTTCATTGCAGTTTATTGAGCTCCTTAAGTATCCACTGTTCTGGCTATTTTCTTTTCCTTTGTTACATCGAGGTGCCAGGTGATTATTTAACATAAAGCTTCAATTTCTAAAACTGTGCTAAGAGCTCTTTATTCTGAATACGTCCGAATAATTGCTATCAGTTTCTGGCAACCAAGATTAAACTGTTCCTTGGAGGATGACCATTTTCTGGAAACCCTATTTTATTTGAAAGCTTTGTAAACTATTCTCATAAAGTTCGTTTTTAACAGATGATTTTCCAAAAGTTGGGTTATTTGTTGGTTAGTTACAGCAGCACTACTTCCCTTCTTTCAAAAATGAAGAAAAATCAATAAAAATTAGCCTTTACATCCTAAAAAAAGAATTTTCAAAAACAACTTTAAAAGTAAAAACACAAAACAAAAGTGCGGTGAGAAAAAAGATCGTGCAATAGTTCAGGTCGCTCTTTTATAAAAGCTTTTTAAATTGAAGAAGCCTAAAAGTTGTAACTTGTAAGTGATTAAATCGTATCAAGCCAACCTGGTGTCCCTCTCAATGTGTATAGCCCCTGTGTCAAAATTATTTGCGTTGTCGTCAGCAGAAGAGAATGAAAGGATTTTTGACATAAAAACAATAATTAATAGGAGAAAGTACAGCAGTTTTGTGCACAAAAAATGATTATGCTATTTATTGAGGAAATAGTAACCGAAAAAATTAGCTTTTTTTTTGTTGCACCAATCTTGCAAACATCTCGTTGTAGTTTGAAAGCAACTTCATAGAACGTACGGGTAACGCAGTACGTAACGCAGTCGGAGACAAAAAGAATCCGGTACTTCACTCTTAACAGAGCAGTAGCAAATCACTGAGCACAATAGCTTATTTTTGAACTTTAGAGGGCTTTTGAATCAAAAATAAAGATGATTCTACTGTCCACTTCACTTGTCTGTTATCCTGTTATTGAGTGAAGTGAATATACTAAAAGTGGAAAATAAGAAACGGAAATTAAGGAGTATGTCAACTTACTTTGATCTCTTCAATACCAAATGCGGTAGACATCAACGAAAAGCAGTTTTGAAAGCTAAAGTTATAAAACGTAAAAGAAATGCAAAAAAGGTGACTAGAAAACTTTCTGTTGTTGCTTCTTCACTTTCTTTTGCAACTGTTTTCCCTCAAAAACATATGCGTTCAAACAATTCGCAGCTCAATGTGACCCCAACAAAAAAAGGTCAATTAAAACCAGAACTGTATTAGAGCGAAGAAAAAAAGTTTCTTGTCTGGTAATAAATTGCTCATCATCAATATTGCCATTGTCAACGTCGACAATAACAGTAGCAGCAGTCATAATTACAATATTCGTTTCTTCTATTAAGAAGCAAAAAATATAAATTGATAGATGAAATGTGAAATTGGTAGTAGTCAAAAAAAATGATAAAAGCCTCTAAACATCTCTGGTATTATGCCAACAGAAAACAATTTTAACAGTTTTCAGAATAATAGGTACTAAAAGGTGTAATAAATTTTTTTAATCAGCCTTCAAATGTTTTCGTTAAAAACCTAAAAAAGTTAATAAAAACTTATAAATATATAGAAAAAATTGGCCGAATACTGCAGCTATAAAGTCTGTAAACAGCTCTGATGACCCAAAAGTTCATCTGACCAACTAAGCAGTGCTACATTTTTGGTTGATTACCGCCGGCGTTAATAACTGCGCTGCTGTGATTAAAAAATTTATCCTCCAACAGCATTTCTTGACTTTTGTATTCTATATGATAACTGTAAAATAAAACAAAAAAGACAGAAACTGGCAGCGATAAAATTAATGTTACATATGTTTTTGCAGTATAGCGAAGATAGTGACGATAAAATGGAGAGAGAGAGAAAAAAAAATAAAACTAAAGATGTTCATTGTTGATTTTGGATTCCTATGGTTTTTATTCCATTTATTTTTTGTTGCTGTTGCTGCTGTCCTTTTAATTTTGCCATTTTATACCCAACTGAAATCTGAGCACAAAAAATAGTAAAAAAAAAAAAAAAACAATTACCGCTTGAAGAATAGGTAATATGATATTTAGCATTTTAGTGTAATACAAGAAAAATTTTATAACAAATTATATAGGTAAAAAACAAAATGATAAAAAAGTAAACTGATATATAATCAACTAAAAAAAAATTTTTTTTGATCCATATATTTTTCACCAATATTTTTTCTCCTCCTATAAATAAAAAAATTTATATTTTAAGGTATTTCATGTAAAATCATTAACCATATCAAAAATATACAGCGTGAATAGATGAGACAAATTGCTACAACAGTAACGAGGAAAAAAAAAAACAAAAACAAAAATGCAACTGAAAAAATGTTATGTTACAACAGTCCAAAGAATGAAATAAAAACAAGTGAAAATTTGTTATTTAGTTAATATTAATGTGCTGTTTTTATATCACTTTGTTTTTCGAGCATTGCTCTAAGAATTAGGTTGCTTTAGGTGTACTAAACTGAGAAATATTTCTGTTAAATTAGTGTAATTTTTAATTCATTTTGGCTTAAAAATGAGAAAAGCAATGAAAAAAAGAGGAGAGAAGAATGAAGGAAAAAATAAAAAACTAAACAAATCTTTTACTTCTCTTTCTTCTACTTTTTTTTCCTACAAGTTAAATATTGTTTAGTGTTTATTTTTTTAATTTACATTACTTACACATTTAAAAATTTTGAAACCATTTTATAGATATATAGGATATATAGGTTAAGCGTAGAAAACTGTTGCCTAACGTTACATTTTCAATTTTCAGTTTTCTTATCAAAAAAAAAGATAACACAAAAATAATAATTTGCCAACTCTGAGAACATTTCTTTCTTTTCTTTCTCACTCAAAAAAGAGAAGCCAAAGTTACAGGTTGATCAAAAGTTAACAGGTCTTTGATAAATTTGCGATAAAATTGAGAGGGCAAACAAATATAGTGCTGCGATCAAATATAACAGAAATATAGCGCTGCTATTTTCGGCTGAATTACCAGCGAACAGTAAATTTATTACGGAATCATTTTAATATATATTATAAATATTTGCATATTTCACTTTTATTCCGTTTACCATTGAGTAGTGCACCGGACAAAAAGATGAAGAAAGTGGAGAATGAGGAAAAAAAAAGGAAAAAAACCATTGGGGAAGAGGGGAAAAAACTTGTTCAGAAATGACAAAGCATGCAGTTGTTGTTCAACCAACTGATAATCATCAGATTTATTTCAGCGGGTTGCATAGAACAAAACAGAAAGTTAGAAACACAAACACTGATTGCTTCTTTCCTTCTTCGTCTTTCTTTTTTTTTTTCTACATACTCAGGCATTCAAAACTGAACACGTCTATTTCCATAAAATCAGTTTTGTTTTTATTATTTTTCCAAGGTATCAATTTTAGAAAGAGGAGAAGTTTCTTTTTGGTCATTTTTTTACGTTTAAGTCTGTATCGGTTGCTTAAGTGCAGTATTGATGTAAAATAGTTTTGCTGTTAAAGAAACGAGAAGAAAAAATACTGAACAGAAAAAAAAAAAAGGAAAAAATAGCCAAATAAGAAACAGCAACAACGAAATAAACAAACATACGAGAAGATATTTCTTCAAACAACAACGTTGTTAGTTTTTTTGCCACCGCTATCATCATCATCTTCATCATCATCTTCATCATCATCACCCCGTTCACCATCACCATCAACATCACCATCAACATCACCATCACCACCACCATCACCATTATCATCTTCTACAACATTAGACTGGCGAGTGTCCTCTCTGCAAGTGTGACAATTTCAAGCTAGCCAATTAAGCTAAATTTTTAAGTATTAGGAAGCAACAGATAAGCTAAACAAACGACAGCAGTACTTTTGCTGTCTGATGACGGCAAATTTGAAAGGAAAAGTATTCTAAAAAAACTTAAACGACAGAGGAAGAAGAAAAAACGGCAAACAGAAGCAAAAACTACTCAATCATCGATTGAGAATGACACCAGTAAGCAAACATTACGATATGGTACTGGTGCTATTCTTCCTTCACCTTTGAAGCTGTCATATCATATTCTTCCAAAAGCATTCCCTTACCCCCATTGTAACAAAAAAAAAGAAAAAAAAACAAAAACAAAAAAAATTTTTTTCTTACTATTCTTTTGAAAAAAACTGATAGTTTTTCAAAAAGAAAAGCGGAAACATAATGCAAAAAAAAAAAAAAGATATTTTACTCTGCTGACATTTTTTTCTTTGATGACAGTGAATCTATTATTCAGTAGATAATTGATATTGTTACACCTTTGACTGTTGGGGTGTCTGGTGTATAAGTATTTTTAGAATTTAACCGAAGGCAGCTGGGAAAGACTGATTTCAAAAAACCGTATACTACCAATGACTACCATCAGATCAGTTGAATCAGAAATAAACTGTTTCAATATAGTGTTATGTATTATCATTCCTACAGCTATGCATTCCCACCAAGACAGGATTATTTGATCAAAAAAAGAAAAAAAATGTTTCCCAAAACTGCAAAAGTTTTTGTTTTTTCTTCATCTGTTTAAAAGTTCAAAACAATAACAACAATAAACCAAAAACATTTTTTGATAAAAAAAAAAAAAACTGTTGTCTGCTTTCAACTCAATTCTTACGTTTATCGGTTCGACAAGAAACCAAAAACTGTTTTTCGTTTATTTAGCATCAATTACCACAATTTTTGTTTTTAAAAATGTTAAAGAGCAGAAAAACACAAAAAAGGTGTAGTTGATTAGTAGAGAAAAAAAAGCTTTTTTTCTTTTTGTTCAAATAGTAAGTTAGCTGGAAAATAAATAGATAAATACAAAAAAAAACAGAATTGAGAAAAAAAAATGCTGATAAAAGCAACTGCATTTATTTTGATTTTCCCATTTATCTTCTTGCTTTATCTGATTTTATTGTCTTTAAACAAAACAATTCAAGTACATGACACTTTTATCTGTATCAGAAATGAAAAAAATGCTAAGATGTTTAGGAATAAAAATTGAAGCAGTAAATTTACTGTCAGATAGCTCAAATACAAAGAATCAGAAGAAGCAATTTTTTTTCTCTCATCTTTTTTGAATTAAAAAAGTGTTGAATAGTAAAATTGGTTAGGTTTCTTTGAGCCGTTAAACTTTACCGTTATGTAGCAACCTATTTTTTTCAGTCAGACTTTTGTAACAGTAAAAATATTAATCAGCATATAAATATTGCTCTGTTTACTGATAGTAAAAGCTGTTTTTGTGTTAATCGTATACCTGAATATTGATAAATTGAAGAAAGTTGAGGTTCAGAAAGATTGCAAAACCTGTTTATTTTTTGTTCTCACAACGATTGTATTGGTAAAATATTACATCCTAAAATCATCCTGATTTTTGTGACCTTTTTAAAGTAGCAAATTTATCATATCAGCACAGAGTATATAAAAAAAAAAAAAAAA